AGGCGCCTTAAGTTTTAAAAGTTGTCATAAACAGCATATTATTGTCTATCTAGATATTTTTTTTACGTGTTTTTTGTGTTGCTTATATTTTATTTAGTATGTAGTTACTAGTCTGAAAATGAAACACAGATAAAAAAATTAAAAAAGTATACAACTTTGGCACATAATGCCGGGTGTCCTTTATTTATCGATAGAAAATATCGATATTTTCTAAATCGATCTTACCCTCATCACTTCGCTGCACTGAGTATATCATCTGACCTTGACGTGTCCAATCACAACGCGGCTGATCTCCCTGCACGCCGCCGACTTTGGCGATTTTGATTTCAAACAAAATTTGCGTGATGCGGACTCTAGTGGGGGTACTCCGTGCCGGAATCGTATAATCACATTCGGGCTGTCGCAGCCCGAATGTGATTATACGATTCCGAGAGGATCTCTTTGTCCGGCATAGTTCGCACTTTGAAGAACAGCGGTGGTTCTCATCCTGCTTCCTTCTGTGGAGATTGTTCTCATCGTACACGTCCTTGTGGCTACTTTCTATAATGTGGTTAATGAAAGTGTCGCTTTAACACCAATAGTATCTTGCGCATAACACCATCAATATTGATATCATGAAACAGTCGCATGACATATTGTTTTAATGTACATATTAGATTTCTTACCGTCTTTTGTTAAATTTACCTACAGTTTACCGCAAGGAGAACTACTTGTCCAGAGTCTATCCACTGCGTGCGTGTTAAAGAGGAATGGACGATATCGACAAACTTGGTCGAAAACACTCGCTGACTATAAAAAAGCTCCAGAATGCAAAAACACAGAATGATTCCGAGATTAACAGTGGGTAATATATTTTTGTTAAGTTAGAGTTTAGAGTGAAAAAAAACGGACATTTGATGTTCACAGGCGATAGAAAATGCGTAAAAGGCCTTCATGACTACGTCATAATAGGAAACATCTGTGTTAAAATTCAACTCTGGGTCCAATGATTTAGGCTGGGCGTTGATGAGTCATTCAATCTAAGGCCCAAGCACGGACTTTGAGAGATAATTGTATAATCGTCTTCGGTTCTTCGTCGTCGTTATCCTTAATTTTTTATTGGAACGGGCCAGTTTGTTCTGGTTTTCATAAGTTTTCATAGACACTTAGACGATGCGATACTATTACGGAGCTGTCAAAGTTCGTGCTTAGGCTTCTGGCCTTCTTTCTTTATACTTCGTCCGCGTTAACTTTAGTTTTTTCAGAAACCCTCAGGAACCTCGCATTTTTTCGAGATAAAAAGTTTTCTATGTCTCAAATCAAGTTTTTGTGTGCTTGAGTAACAAACATATAAACTTTCACATTTATTAATATTAATATAAGTATTACTACCAACCAATTTGGCGGCTTTATCTGTTACCAACCATTGAAGTGAAAACTTCTTTAGTATCGTTGTGACTTGATATTCGATGAAATGCAAATGGAACTATTTTTGGAAACAATTTAAGTAGGTATAATATAATTAGTTTTGTCCAGTTTTCCCTTTAAAAAATACTATCTTGAATGAATATACCTACTACTAGAATGTTAGCCGTTGGTCCCGGCTGCATCTGCAGTGTTGGTTCGCACCAATCCGCACTGGACCTGCGTGGTGGGTCACATCTAGGGCTTTCAATACCGGTATTCCGGGATCCCGTAATACCGTAATCACGGTTTTTTTATTGGTATTTTTCAATACCGGTATTGATCAGTCAATACCGTGATTTTACGGTATTACAAATCAACAATTCTTTATTAGGGTTATATGAATAGAAAGACGAAATGTTAAGCATGAACGCGAGTGACGTAAACTGAAGAGCTGGCACACAAAACGGTATAATTACATATATGGTTTTCAGCATATAATACTTTTAAAAGCTGATATTGCTTTAAAATTTATGTTAAGAAAATTAGATGGACAGGCTAATGAGATGAGCCAAAACCTTGCAAAGGCACTTCGAAAACGTATAAAAGAGCGACGTTTCTCTATATCTGGAGTGTTACAATACTTGCATGACCCTGAAACTTATTTAAGTGCTAATGATAACGAAGGTGACATTTTCAAAAAACTAACATCTGATGAATTGTTTAAAATTATCGTTAATTTACTGACTCGTTTGAAATACAAAATAAACAACTGAATACCGCAGCATTTATTGAGATGGTTGCTAGTGTTGCTACAGAAGAAGAAGAAGAAGAACCTTCTACTTCATCGTCATCGTTAAATACAAGTGTTGAAGATGACGATGCGTCCATCCAGAAACAGTTGGAGAGGGAAATATGCAAATTACCTGAACGTACAACTGCAACAACAGGCACTGATTTTGAATCAATAATAAGAGTGTGTGTCTTCGAAACCAGTGGGGGCGGTCGAGAAATATTTTTATCTGCAGCTTACAAATATTTACTATCTGTAGTACCTACAAGTGTAGAAGCTGAGCGAGCTTTTTTTTCGGTCTGCTATTTATGCAACAAATTGAGAAGTTCGCTATCTGATAAATCATTAAACCCTCTGTCCTTTTTAAGATCACACTTTCAGCTGCAAAAATGCCAAAATCTTAAGATGATATTGATTCCATTTATCGATTCTTTTGAATATTGTTATTTAGTATTGTTTGATTAGTAAATATATAAATGGTACAAAGTAAATGAATAGATGATTGTTAAGTAATTTACCTATATATTTTTTTTAATGTTGATTGCCATGCGAATTTTAATTATTGGGACGGCATTTTTGTTGTATTTTAATAGTTTATCTTTTGTTTAATAAAAAAAAGTGGATCTCAAATTCTTAGTTCCGCCGAACTATTTATTAACAAAAGACTGCCCGGGAAGGGTAGAAAAAATAATGTATATTTAATATTTTGTTAGCCTGTTTTTCATGTAGGTACCTATGTAACAGAAATCAACACTGATTTGAAATAAATCGGGCTTTTTAATATTCTTTGATTTGAAGTTCATATTCAATACCGTGATCCCGTGATCACGGTATTGAACATGCTAATACCGGTATTGATACCGGTATCGAAAAAATCCGGTATTTGAAAGCCCTAGTCACATCACGACCTAATCTCCCTTTAGGACATTAATAACACTGATGATGATGACTTATTTTTTTTATAGTGATGGATACCTACAGGTGACTGATGAAATTACACAAATCAGTAGCTGCTAATACAAATTATATTATCTCCTTATTCCATCCAAAGGGAAAGAGTATGCCCTCCGCAGTGGGGAAATTAATACACATGATGATAATAAATACTGATATTAGTAAAATACATAACTTATTTCAGATAGCCTATCAGCCCTTAATGCGATTCGCCTATGAAATTGGTATGATCAAAATTTAAGAAGAATTTTCACTGCTTTGATAAACTGAATAAAAAATATCTTGTCTAGCCGGGTAACAGGTAATACAGGTAAACAGCAATGCGAAAGACGGTTAATAAGAAGCGCAACAGGTATGTACATAATTTTCTAGGTATCCCTAAAAACCACACACTTGCGACTTCTTGATGAATCTATGAAAAGAAAAAAATATTAGGATTCGAGATTTTAACACCTTAAAAAGTTATGAAGCCAGCAGATCTCATAGAAGTGCAGATTAAACAGCTTGGCAAAGTTGTAGCACAAGATTTAATTTTCTAAAATACAAGTATGAGCGTCTAATGGCAAAACAAAATCTGTGGGGATTTTAAATGTAGAACTTTCTACAAGTAATAGGAAATGCTAAGTTTGTAGTTATAGAGGGAATTTGTACCAATGGGTTGCTCAGCGCAAATGCCAGGATGTATTAGTGACTACAACAGAACTTTTAAAATGACTAAAGTTCATGTTCTCAAGTATTTTAAAATATGTAGGTACTTCATAATTAAACCCTTATTACTACTATAATTATACCCAAGCAACAAAAGACGAAAACATATTTCCTCAGCCTGTCACGAGTAGGTACGAATGAAGTTATTGTTGCTGCCAGCTGCTATCAACCCCATCAAACCATCAATCTCATCTCTCCACACAACAGAAAGAGGTTACAACAAGGGTGATCAAAGACCGTTTGTACCGGAATCGTTGTCGCCGGCTTGCCCCCACTACACTTTCACATAATAAATAATAGCCAATTAAACGACGCGACGTTAAAAAAAATAAAAAAAGCTCACAACGGAGAGCTATGACGCAATCTGAACCAAGTTTTGGTCAAGTTATGAGTATTTGCTCACTCATATTATGGCGCGCCTGCCCCGGCCCACAAGGCCCTTCTAACGTCTCAATCCGAAAGAATTATCTATACTTCTGTCTGTTACCTCTTCACGCTTAAACCGCAGAACCGATTTCGATAAAATTTTAAAATAAATAGTTTAAGTTCCGAGAAAGCACATACGATAGTTTTTATCCCAGAAACCGTCCTTTAAAAGGATAAAATATTCCCATACATACGGGAAACAAAATATTTCTACGCAGACAAAGTCGAGAGCATCCACTAGTACTATACAAATATATCATAGTCGTCTATAAAGCTTTTTTACATGAGATGTTGGCAAGTCACAGTCTTAGAAAAATATACTACCAAAGATATTTTTTATTCTACCAAAAAGTTGCTGGTAACCCAAATTTACTCAACCTAGAATCGATAGAGTAAACGTAGGTTAAATGTTATGCAGCTGAGCAAGTACTCTACTAAACAGATGATAGCTAGCTAGCACTGTTTCTATTTCTTTTGTTTATTTTATCATCAAAAGTTAAACATAACAATTATATCACAACGCAATGTCTAATTATGATCCAAGTTTAGTTAAAAGGTACATTTTTGAATGTATAATATTTTCAATAAGTATAACTAAATAAATCCAAAAATTTAAATAATATGTGCTTTGGTGTCAATTAAAATAATAATAGCCGTTCATTAAATATGTGATAAGATAACAACATAAATAACTGGTTTTGTTATGTGTTTATCGAACAGACTAGATATAGTGGAAGGAATGTTGTGTCGAGATGATTCATTTGAGCTCGCCTTTAAGCTGAAGTGAAAAGTTTGAGTTAATTTAATTAACTACATCGGTAAAAGGATATGCCTGTTGGGGTGTTCAGTTGTGTGCATTGTGTTAAAATGGACTATGATGTCCAAGAAGGAACAATACCTAGAGATTTTATTGAATATGATTTTGCTGAAGATGCTTTGGATTTTGAGGTTAGTAACTTGTAACAAAAACAAGATAGAACTTAAGTATATCGTATAATTAAGTACTTACCTGTTTAGTATGCATACTTACATATTGAAATCCATTAACTAAATACTTCTGTATAACTGAAAGAGTACACTAAGGTTAGTTATGATACATATTTAAATAAAGAACATTGTACTAGAAATTAATTAACTCCGCCGAGGAGATGAAGCTAGAGCTTTTAGTTAGGGATTAAAATAAACCTTTAACAAAAAAAAAATACTTACACCATACCTACCTAAGTACTTAAACTTAATTTTGATGTGAACTTGCGCAATTATAATTTACTTGGTTTTTAAGTGGACTATTGTTAGTTTTGTATGCTTTAACAGACCACTTATTTAACATAAAGCACACCATATTGTTGCAAGTAGATACTTAGCATTTCGTCATTTCAAAATAACTTATTAGGTACATATCAGAAATAGAAATGCTAAGTCGGTAATTATTTCATTTATTTGTCAGGGATTTATTTTAAAAACCACGCATAAGCTTATATGCGTACCTACTATAAAAATAAACATATATACCTACTATAAAAATGGTTTATATAGTAGGTATGTTCATGATTAATGTATTGCTATAAGGTACCTACCTAAAAGGAGTCCTATTTTATTTTAAAATATGAGAAGAGCTAAGCCTTACATGTTACTTAAGTACCTACCCATTTAATTATTATTCTTTGTCATTTGACCTAACACAGAGTATTAAGTACTATATTCTAAGTGCAGGTATTGCAAAACACAATTTGTAGTTTAAAAACACATTATAGGTTATTTTATAAATTCTCTTGCTTTGAGTTTAAGTAGTAATAAATAATTTCAATTTATGGGCAACACTTTAGGGTGCAAATTTTTGGCGGGATAACCACAGAATATGTACAAAGGGGTTAATGATTTTCTATAAGAACGAGTCACACAAATTAGGCAGATTTTTGCAATGTAGATTTGCTATTGTAAAATGTGTATTAAGCTAAATACTATGGGGAAATTTGGATAACTACAGTTTACTAGGATGACTATACCTATAAATGATGCAATAATTTTTACATTGGAATAAATCTTCGTTGTCTAAACGTCAATAAAGTCTACCCTTCTTTATTCTCCAACTATACTTACCTCACCTACAATTTTATATCACTATAGGTATAGGTACCACTAATCGAAGGCTGTAGCGTAATGTAAAGACACGACGAAGTTTACGAACATATTTTTTATAACAACGTTCCTGACGATTCGACCTAAAATTCCAACATCTCTCGCAGGTAGGTAGTGGAAAGCTGTTTGTTTTTTGGGGATTTGAGATTTGAAACTTCAATCTACAACACCACAACTGAAAAGGCATCTACGATCACGATTGGCTAAATAATATTATTTTTAAAATGAACAGTCATGTTCATAATGAACGAGAAAATTAAGCACATATTTACTTAAGTACTTATTTTTTTTATATAGATGTAATCTTTAAGGTACCTAAGTACTTCCTCTGTTAAAGATCTGTCGAAAATCATGAAATTTACAAGAAGCAATGAATGCCATGTGGAGCTGTTTTAAATATAAAGTTTTATTAGCAGTAGTAAAAGGATATTTAAAAAAGCTGAATAATCTTGGTTAATAAAATGAGGAAACTAACCCCCAACCTAGATAAATTCTTCTTCGGTCATGATGTCATTTTATCATAAAATCTACCTACATATTTAAATATCGAGTCTAAGTTAGTATTAGTTTTTTCTTACTAGAATGCGATAGAATCAGCGTCTTTGATTACATGCAGTAAACATAAAATTAACCAAGCAAAACAACGTTTTATAGGCGAACACCGTTCGCTGTGTAGCTTTGTTTGTTAGATAGACAGACCCAGCCAGACACTCGAGTACGCACGACGCGGCGCGAGCGTATATTTTCGTGATAATGTGTCCCCGGAAACATACTAATATAATTAGCTTAGTGCTAACTAATTTATAAGTGTTCTGTGAATTAAACTGTGTATTAAGCCTGTTTTAATCTGTTTCGTGGCAACAATGGTCTGTGGTAAAAGATGTGACTGCGGTGCTTTTTGCCATCGTTTGTTTGGTCGCACGCAGCAATCGACCGCCGAAGAAAATGTTCTTGATGAAACTGTCCCTGTTACTGTGGTAAATCTAGTTACTGTATGGCCTTTATTTTTATATTATATTAAAATGAGGAACGAACACTGAACTGTATCCGAACACTCGTTCTAAAAATATTTTCTTGAGGCCAGCACTGATAACAAAAATGACTAACAAATCCGAAAGGTAAACGCACCTTTAATAATGATTCACACCTCGATATTGCAAGCCGCTTATTCAGAATTTGAAACGGTGCCTAGCATTCGTGAACGAACTTAAAACACTATAGAAATCCCAACAACTGTCCTTATTAAATAGGTATTTTTTTATTTCATATTTTCCTTGTACAAAAACCATTAAATAAAAACTTGTCAACTGAAAAAAAGTAAAAAACAGATCGTGTTGTCTTGATTACACACGATAAAAACTAGAACAATCAATGACATAAAAGTGAGTTTGTTTAATTTTTCATTAATATTTAGAAGTTCCTTATGCATACTTTAATTTTTACACAAGTAGGCGCTTCGAGTTCCGAGTTTTACAATTACGAAAACTATGATAGTTTTCGTGAGCTCGCACTCGTAGGTACGAAGGGTACTGATTTTATTGTTTTAGTTTCAATACAAATAAACGATGGAGGAGCTCGATGGCGCAGGTGGCTAGCGCGTTCGGCTGCGATCGTTGAAGTTAAGCAACTTTCGCAGTGGTCGGTCATTGGATGGGTGACCAAAAATTTACTATCTCGAGCTCCTCCGTGCTTCGGAAGGCTCGTTAAGCCGTTGGTCCCGGCTGCATTTGCAGTCGTTAGCACCCACCAATCCGCACTGGGCCCGCGTGGTGGGTCATGGCCCAATCTCCCTATTCCATCCATAGGGAAGGCCTGTGCCCCAGCAGTGGGGACATTAATAGGCTGATGATGATGATGATGACAAATAAACAGTGTTTAAATTCTTTCATTAAATCATTTGCGTCTTATTAAATTTTAAGTATATTTAGTTACTTTTCACTAAAATGGACATAGAAACATAATATACAATTACGAAAACTATGATAGTTTTCGTGAGCTCAAACTCGTACTAAGGGTACAGTTCGTAATATAGGTTACGCTTTTAGATTAAAACAAAGTTACGCTACCTATAATATTTTTTAGGTAAATGCATATTCAATCGAATATCGATATAAAAATAAAGTTATGGAAAAAAGTACCTAAATTAATTAGCACTATTAGCATTTCTGTACTTTTAATAAATGCTCAGCGTTACACAATACAAACAGCTTCTTTCAATATTTTTTTTGCACACTATTTTTCCGACATAATTTAACCATAACGTTTTTGATCGATGGAAATAAGTTACAAAGAACCACCCCTCTGACGATCTCAATATATTTGTAGTAAGAAGTACTACAGAATAAATAAAAGTAGTACCCTTCCTCATCAATCAATCTACAGAACAACTTAATGGCGGAATATAGGTACTACGTTCATTTACGTCTCAAAATGATAATTATGTAGAGAATAAATCATAATTTTGCTAAAGTCATCTCAAATAAACAACTTTATAAATGGACGTAGTTACGCGAAAACGTTCCAACCCACAGCGACCCCATTTTGAGATAAACGCAATTTTGTGTTTTAGCGGTACACTTTTTCCCTGTAATTATTTCAGGCAAATACTATTGGTGTTACTGTGGAATGCCAAACTGGTTATTGAATGATATGCATATTTTTTGTAAATACATAATACAAGGGGCATATAAATAGGTAAAACGAGTTTGAAACGTTTTCGCTAAATTTAATTTTGTATGAACCTTGTTAAATAGCAATTGTGCATAAACGTTCCAGAACGAATTTAAGTGTATTATTTTATAAATATATCTAAAATAAATATGTAAAATAATAAATAACAATGAAGAACATACAAAAACAACAAAAAAAAATTGAAAATGTATTACAAAAAAAATAGAACGTGATCTTTTGAGCTTAGAACCTATGCCAATTTGCTGATATGGTTCCAAAAGTTATCAAAAACTTATATTATAAACATTCAATTTTCATCATCGTATTCTATGATCTCGAAGTCCGGAACTCCACCAAACCCATCAACATCATCAGTGCTTCTTCAGAACTTTGAAGCGTTCTATAAAATTGAAGGCAATCCACTTCCTGTGCACCTCTTCTACCTCTCCTTCTACCAATACATAACAATGCCCAGTATCATTAAATGCACTATGGATACCACTATTGTAGAACTAAGTAAAAAAGTTAAACCTCTTCAAGTTTACAAAATGACAAAGACTGATTTTTTTAGTACAACTAAACTGGAAAAGAAGATTATCAATAGGAAGAAGTTTACAGACTCATCTAAAGTTAGTTGGCTACATACAAAAGAAATTAAGTTGGATAAAGATAAAATGTTTTCTATTTTTATGCGGTCTACGATGGAAGACGATTTCAATGAGTTGAAAATTGATAAAAGAATAAAACGAGAACTGCAATACATAAAAGAATCTGATTTTTGCTTATTGTGGCCTAACGACAAACCGATTGCTCATACCCGAGGATTGCCTTCAATTTTATAGAACGCTTCAAAGTTCTGAAGAAGCACTGATGATGTTGATGGGTTTGGTGGAGTTCCGGACTTCGAGATCATAGAATACGATGATGAAAATTGAATGTTTATATTATAATATAAGTTTTTGATAACTTTTGGAACCATATCAACAAATTTTTGGCATAGGTTCTAAGCTCAAAAGATCACGTTCTATTTTTTTGTAATACATTTTCAAATATATTTTTTTGTTGTTTTTGTATGTTCCTCATTGTTATTTATTATTTTACATATTTCTTTTTGGTTTATTTTTATAAAATAATACACT